GTTATGTTTTTAATGTTGTTTACAGCGTGAAATCGACAACTTCCGCCAATAATTATTTTGTTCAATCGCTCAGACCAAGCATTTTCGCGCGGATATTTGCGTTTACCGATCGTTAAAAACCTTATAGCACTTAAGATCTAGAGAAATAGATAAATTGTCCGCATCGAAATGCTTTTTTATTCGAACTAATCAATTAAAACAGAGAAATCGCGAATTTGGGATATTTTGCAACATTGCGAGAGATCGTCGAGAACGTACTAATTTTAAAATTAAATATGCCCAAACGTCAGCTCGGTACGGGGCAAAAAAAATTATCATATTTGTACACAAAATGGCCTGTTTTACGCATTAAAGTATGACACATTGCCTTGTACTGGTAACATGCGTGCATAAAGTGTAATTTAAATATATTAGTAACTAAAATCGGAAAACGTGGTTTCAAAGCGTAAAAACGCGGCTATAAATTTCGAAAACGAGGCGGATGGCCCAATTCATCGTCTGAATGCCATTAATTTTCGAATTCTGCACCTAAAAATACCTAAAAGTGCGTATATTAAACAAATTATTCATTGTTTTCGCTTCAATCGAGCTGATAACGTTTTCGCATCAAAACGAGGCTTTAAACGCGAAAACGAGGCTGAAGGCCACGTCCACGGCCTGTATACCAACGATTTTCGAATTCAGCACCCCAAAATTGACCAAGTTCACTTGGTTTCATAAATTTCCCCGTCAGGGGACTATTCCCCCCTTCTCCGCCTGGTCTAATACACTCGATCAGCAGGCATGATGAGACATCTCATGTGGTTGCACTTAATATTGACTTGAACTGTGATATTGGTACAGCCTATAGCTGCCCAGATACTGTTATTACATGACTAAAGTGATTAGCTTAAAACGTAGATTTGATTACTAATTTCAAACTGCAAGCTGAAAAGTAGGCTGTGGGTTAGGCAACTAAAGCGAGAGATCTGATTGGCTTCTCAGAGAAATCCTATTTCGCAGAAGAAGTTGAGCAGTTTTAGCTAGGAAAAATTATTCTATCAACATATATGTTAACGCAAATACTTCGTTTCTTCGAAATACTTCGCTTTGAAAATTGTTACAGGTGCTAAAGTGTCCCAATTCAAGACCATGCGCTTTAGAAACTACTGCAAGTTTACTTGCACTTCCGGTTCCGTATGTTCCAGGGCCTAGGGAGGACGCGCGCGGCCGAGAGGCCCTGGGGACAAGGATGTGGGTGGACTTGATCAAATTCCCTGACTCAAGTTAAGTCTAGCTATTGACTTGACTCGACTTAAACCAATGACTCGACTTGACTCGAGTGAAACTGCTGACTCGATTATACAGTAAAAAAGGATTAAGCATTCGATCTTCAAGCAGAAAGGCTGTTATAATAAGAAAGATTAAGCAGTCTTTATTTTTTGGAAGTTGTATAAGATTAACAACACAGAAAAGTGAGAAAACGACGATGTAAAATTAAATAATTCCAATTATCACCCGTAAAAATTCGCGCAATATCTAAAAGAGTTAATGGGTGTCTCCAGCTATAGACTAAATTTTGATCAAGGCAAGAAGAACGAAATCCAACACCACAGCTAGAAAGAGCGTCTTAGAATGAGTAAAACTGCAAAGATTGGTTGCTAAATGGTGTAAAATGAAGAAAATATAGCCCTGTGAAGTTCGCAAATTTTGTATATATTTTGGCTCAAAAATGGTTATTTTTCCCGCGTGTATGCAAATATATACAAAACTTGCGAACTTCACAGGGCTATATTTTCCTCATTTTACAACAATTCGCAACCAAACTTTGCAATTTTACTCATCCTAAGATGCGCTTTCCAGCTGTGGTAATGGTTTCGTTCTTCTTGTCTAGATCAAAATTTCGTCTAGAGCTCTGGAATCATTTTGATTTTGATTAAAAGGCATTTATTCAAAGTTAGAGCAAATTAAAGTACAAACAAAATACTGTACATAAAGTAAATATGGCAAAGCTCAGAAGCAAAACATTTAACTTGCGTACATCGCATACTACACATTATGAATTACACTACTAGAAAGTTATTGAACAGTTTTAGTTTTAAGTGATTGTGAAATTCAAATCTGATTATAGTTGTATAAACAAGTAACATGACATTTGACCTTTCCCAAGTGGATTTTGACACAATTTTATACTGTCAGCCTATCATATTTAAACATTAAACCAAAACACAGCTTGAGGCCATTAGGAAACGCAACAGAATTCTATTGTCTATTCAGAAATATCAGCGCAAATGAGAGAATGTTTTGCCTCAAAATACACAAAGAATTGTTTCAAAACAAACGTTTCCAATGTTATTCGTTTTACTTTTTTACATATGAAATCTTCTCAGGTTGAATAGTGATTTTTTTATATTACTGTATCGCAAAATGAGTAGCGAAATCCCCAAAACGGATAGCGAATCGCGATTCGCTATCTGTTAATTCGAACCCTGAGTCTGTATATGCAACACAGTATAATCACTTTGTAGAAATTCGCTATTCACTTTTTATTGCATGAGTCAATGGATAGAAATTCGCTATTCACTTTTAAATATTTAATTCGAACCCTGGACTTCGACTCGACTTGAGTGAAGCCACTGACTCGACTCGACTCGATCAGAAACTGAAATGACTCGACTCGACTCGCGATTCGACCTATAGGTGACTCGTTACAACACTGATTGGACCTAACCATACAGGAACAGTTGCGAAAAATGCAACTACAGGTCCCTGACAGGAATCGAACCTGCGGCCCTGCGATTTCTGTGCAGCGCTCTAACCAACTGAGCTACAGAGGCCAGTTGTCGAGCTCTAACCACAGGTTTCGGTTAAACTTTTCTCCAATTAGGGACTCACAACCAGTAAATAATATAGTAACATACAGCTAATTCCATTGAGATAAAACCACAAAACCTCAGTCTCTAAGATTCTGTATAGTCGTCGCAGGAGCGAAACTTCATAGATATTACAACTGGGGGGTGAGCTTGTTTTGCTTGTTCAAAAGGGTGTGACCGAAGTTGTTCCCGACGGACGAACATTTCAGGCTCTAATTAATATTTCTTTTCCCTAATTTGTTTGCAGGGG